GAAACAAAAAAAAATACACAATTCAAAGTTGAACCTGGCCCACTTGTCGTTTTAATGGGATAAACCTAGCTTCACATCGTATTTCAAACACAAATCCGTTTTAGCCGATATACCTAATGCCAAATTCAAATTTTGCTAGACTCTTGCAGGGCGTCACATTTTTATACTACCTGTAGGTACTGTAAATGTGACATACAAAAAAATTACTGAATTTGATAACATAATCAAAACATAATTGCTTTGTTGAGGCATCATCATAATTGCTTTGACGACCTCCGTGGCCGAGTGGTTTGTACGCCGGGTTTCATGGCGTCGCCGACTCGAGAGGTCCCGGGTTCGAATCCCGGTGGGGGCAGATGTTTGTGTGATAATTACTACCTCGAGCTCCTTCGTGCTTCGGAAGGCACGTTAAGCCGTTGGTCCCGGCTGCATCTGCAGTCGTTAGCACCCACCAATCCGCACTGGGCCCACGTGGTGGGTCATGGCCTAATCTCCCTATTCCATCCATAGGGAAGGCCTGTGCCCCAGCAGTGGGGACATTAATAGGCCTTCCCTATGGATGGAACAGGGAGATTGGGCCATGACCCACCACGCGGGCTCAGTGCGGATTGGTGGGTGCTAACGACTGCAGATGCAGCCGGGACCAACGGCTTAACGTGCCTTCCGGAGCACGGAGGAGCTCGAGATAGTAATTTTGGTCACCCATCCAATGATCGACCTCTGCGTAAGTTGCTTAAGTTCAACGATCGCAGCCGAACGCGCTAACCACTTGCGCCATCGAGCTCCTCATTTATTTATATATTTATACTATATTGCAAAAATAACAGCAGATGGTGGCTACAATGCCATAAAACATTTTCTAAACGGGGAGAAAAAAATACGGTGGTGCAATAAGGACAAATGTAAAATAAACCACGGGATACATCGGTATCAAAAGAATATGCACATATTAAAAATATATAATCTACACACATTGTACACAGTATATACCTACATAAATATTCACATAATTATGGCAGTCAAATATGGTATATGCATACACTTACTAGCTTCCGCCCGCGACTTAATCCGCGTTATACCACACTTAGGCCCGTATTATAGAAAGATTCTCAGTGTTTGATCTAGTCTTGAGCCTAGTTAGAAAGGGATATCGCTATATATAGCACATAGCGACATCGCTTTCTAACTGTACTCAAGTAAAGATCAACACTTAGTTGTCATTCTGTAATACGGGCATTAGTTTTTGAGAATCACAATTTTTTCGGGATATGAACTATTTTAAGACTCAATATAGGTAATCAACTATACGTGTAGTTAATAGGTACTTTTATTTCTGAGAATAATAAGAATTTAACTGTTACATTCATAAATCTAAAAATTCCACTCGGTCGGGGCATCAGCCGGGATTCGAACCCGCATCTTTCGCAACCGGGGTGGACGCGCTAACCCTTTTTTTATGGTTATGTTTTCATTTTTAAGCATTTAACTGCTACATGTTTTAATCTAAAGAAAAGTTTACTAGAAAAAAAATCCACGCGAACCACTAAACTTTTCTATTTAATTAAACATCTATCAGTTAAATGTTTAAAAAATAAAATCATAACTATAACTGCTATTTCTTCTTTCAAATGTTTAATACTTGCAAAGGTATTCATTTGACATTGTGGGTTACCTACAATGCGAAAAAATGGCGCTGCCTTGCAGCCTAAGGCTAGAGAAAAATTCGCCACGGCCGTCAGAGCCGCGGTAGCATAATGGTCAGTGCATTCGCCCGGATAGCGAAGTTTGCGGGTTCGAGTCGTGTCTGCTGCCTGGTCCGCGTGTTTTTTGTTAGTAAACTTTTCTTTACATTTTTTTATTATTTAAGCAGGGTGGATTTATTTTTTCTAGTAAAGTGTTCATTAGTGTTGTCATTATATGAGTGCCAAATTCGTTAGTGCGTACAGCAGTTTTTGCGTGATTGAGTAACAAATATACAAACTTTCACGTTAAAATATCAACAGGATAATACTTTAATTCAAAAACTAAGCATTAGAAAAGTTCTGTCTGTCAAACATCACGCACCATAATACATAAAATGAATTAAGACAGTTTATATTTTTTTTTAATTTGTCCACAGAAAACTGGATTTGGCATTGCTGGAGCTGCCGGCACAGCCAAGGAGGTGTGGGACCATGTGAGGAACAGGGGTTAAATGACGACATCAATACTATTGTTACAAATAAATTATAAATATTTATAATTTTGTTAAATATTTTCATATAAAGATAAATTGCAATATTTTAGTTTTACGATATTTTGTAAACATTACCTAAACAGCCGTAAATATAAGATAAAAGTTAATTTTAAAATTCATTAACATATAAAGAAGGAGTAGGTACTTACTGTTCAAGTTACTTTTAGTAAAGCTCATAATGTAATTAATTTAACCAATTTAACCAACCTTTGAAAAATTATATACTTACCTTCGACAGAGTTCCAAGTTATTTAATTAAACCCTTTTTGTCTAAGCAATTAAATTATGAATTGGAAACTCTTAACCGCAGCTTCAATAGTCTTCTGGTTTTTTTTCTAAAGTTTTTTTATAATTAATTATTACTAACAAAACATGGACTCGTAATTCAACTTAAAAATGTTGCCTTTATTCTGAAGTAAATTTATTTTAACATGAATAAATTTGAAAAGACATTATTCAGAGGACCATGCGCGCTGGTCTACGTTGTCACCGTCTAACTGTGGCCACAACTCCAACGCGTACAAAGAAATTTGGTGACTCATTTCTTTGTCGCACTATCCGTAAATGGAATGCTCTGCCCGCTCACGTGTTTCCTCCCTTTTACAACCTGGGATCCTTTAAAAGAGGCGTGAAGAAGCAACATGCAGCCTGGCAGGGTGAGGATGGCTAGTATGGCAGGTAGAACTGCTGTATCAGCTATCTTCGCGTCTGGACTTCACCTTCACTCAACATCAGGTGGGGTGGAGTCATTTGTCGGACCTATTTAAAAAAAACTGAAACAGAAATCTAATAGTGTTTCTACAATTGCTTTACTTAACCCGCCATTCCATTCAAAGATTCTCCTAAACTTCCGACAATACCAACTAAATATCAACGACTTACGCAAATGTCAGATCCTCAGAAAATATTTCTTTCCAATAGGTGTTTGCAACATAAAAAGGGTAAAATGGGAATGTTTTGATATATGATCCCATTTCACGAATTCTTCCGCTGATAAGCCTGAATTTTCAGGGTGGACATATTAACCCGATCGCAGATCCGTGCAAAGCCGAACAGGGCTGCTAATAATAGGTCTTTACCTATGAAATGTCGATCTGCCGTACTGATTATTTCCAGTCCATATGTTTTATCTTTTTTTGCTAAGAATTTTAGGTTCAAATTATTTTTATTTTTAATATATGTAATTTTTTCTTCCAAAATTAGTAATTTGTTTAATGGTAAGCATACTGTTTTCGTATTTGTACGTTTTTCGTCATCATGGAGTACAATATAATTATAATATTATCTTTATTTTTTTGTGTTCTTTCTTTGTGTGACAATACGCAAAAAAAACACAAAACATAAGCAAAACACCCAGGTACATACCTGTACCTGGTATAGAGTGTCGTGTGTAGAACGGGTCTTCGCACTCTAATCCTACGGGTGCGGTGTCTGCCTAATGCTAAGCTAGTGTGCAAGTATGCTAGCTGTGTAGTGTTGTGCTGTATGGGAGAAGTCGGAGGCGCGTTGGCGCGGCTGATTTCATCGTTGGGGTACTCTAAGACGTGCCTAGGCCGACGTAATCGGTGGGACGATTGGAGGACAGGAGGCCGGACGTGTGATAACTAGAGACTTTAACTATGGGGTTCGGATGATACGCAGCTTTATCGAAATAACGTCTCAAGGCGTCCTTCATATACTCCGCGACAGAGTCTAATTTCAGATCGCGATGCAAATCAATGTTGCGCGCGTACCACAGCAGCCCGTAGCTCCGCGCAACTCACGATTTTGCAGCGTTTGTAGGTTTAAGACGTGACGCAGGTACATGGGCAAAGCAAACACTCGCGTAGGTTAGGTTCGTGTATATAGGGCGAATGCAAGTTTGGTAAATTGTCAACTTATGCCTAAGTGACATTTTACTACGCTTCCATATGAGGTGGAATAGTCTGCCGCTAATGATGTTGCGCGATCGTCAAAAATGACATTGGTTGCACGTAGAACGTAGGTTCTAAACGCAGCCTTGCCAGACGTCCGTGCTTCAATACGCTTGCTAAACACCCTAAGCTTAGACTAGTTACGCAGTCTTTTGTTCATGTCAGTCAAATGCCATTTGTCATTCAATAGACAGAGACAATACATGGAGTATGTAATCCAAGCGTAGTCTTTGTTTATTAATAAGGGGGCTAATGTCCTGAATGAGCGGGGCGGGGCGCATCGCATCGCACGCAACCAAAATCCGCGGCGGATTATGCGGCCCGCTGCGCTCCGGTAATGTGCGATAGTTCATACAAAATACATACGAGGGATTTAGGCAGATTTTTGCCACTGCGGCTCAACATAATGTGCGCTATCCATAATTAGACAATGGCGATGGCATTTCCCAATCTTACTGAAAAAAGATAGAATTTTTGCAAAATCTTATTATTTTACTTTGGTCTTCTGTAAGACGGGAGCTCCAATTCGATTGGAAAATCCGCTATACCTTACCTCTCTCTCGACAATACTTGTAAAGAGCGTCTTTATAATAAGTAATCTAAGCACGAATCAATCTACTCAGGCACAGAATAACTTAGACGCCCGTCGCGTCGTTGCCGCGTCGTGACGTAAAAGCAAGCTTGCGGATAATCCCAAAACAATCACAGGGCATTTACACAGGAAAACTTCAAGAGCCCTTTTACTCATATAAAAGGTGCTTAAAGTACTTTATGTTACATTCCTATCAACGCTGCACTCAGCGAAAGTCCATTGTTATTTTATTAGAAAAAAAAGAAAAAACCAAAACAAGATGAAGTTCACTGCCTTCTTTTTTGTTGTATTGGCAATGCTGGCGCTCTTCGTCGGAAATAGTCACGCTGCCCCCAAGATACCTGTCAAGAAAATCGGCAAAGCGATCGTAAGTGATGTCTTACCTATCTATAAATAAATCTAAATATTAAGGGAACTTTCAGATTTATTTTTCCAGTACATATAAACCTTGGTTCCGATTGGCAATCAAAATTTGATTGTGTAAATATAAAGTTTCCAGAGGAAACAGCTGTGAAACTGTAATTTTGTTTTTTCTTATGCATTCTATTACTGTGTTAACTTGTCAATCCTACAAGTGAGTTTTTTATATTTACAGAAAACCGGACTAGGCGTTCTCAGTGCTGCAGGTACAGCTCATGAAGTATACGAAAATGTAAAGAACAGGGGATAAAAATTATTAAATTTATCAAAAAAATATCCAAGACGCGGGCAGAAGTTAAAATATCATCAAACCCAAGCAGCTTACATGCCTGAGTTCAACATCTCTTTGAAGTATGTACTTATGTATGTACATAATGTTTATTCGTTATTTTGTCACCATTAAAAGTTTTATACCAAACAACACTAAGTACTTACAAATTGGGGAGAGTTGAATGAAATACTTATTGATTTACTTTTTACTCAATACTCTGAACTTCTAATAAAAGTTAATAATATAATAATCTTTATCTGTTTTATTAATCAATTTTATGAATCAACTGTTTTATGAATCACAATAATTAAAAAAGCGGACACTTATATTTTCTTTCTGTTACAAAGTTGGTAAACAAGCTTATGGCCCGCCTGATGGTAATTGGGCAACCATAGCCTATAGACGCTTGCTATACAAAAAATATCACTCGCGGCGATTCCTACCCTGACTCCATCCCCTACCCCGTGCGAAGTGGAGTTGTAAGACACGGTCTACACACAACACGCTATACCAGGTACGGATAACAGCTAACTAGAGCCGAGGTCCGAGTTTCAGAGACGCCCTCTAGTTGAGCCGACCCCCTCAGGCTCGAGTGGTCTAGAGGCTCCAGACGGAGAGGAGATGGGGGAGATGCCATCCGCCTGGAATATCTCTAGAGGCACTCGCTAATTCTTGGCTTGAGGTCCCCTCAGGATCTCGCCGTCCCCGAATCCGGTGACGCACTAAAGATCATCTGCAACCAAAAGCATACACACACAATGAAAATTTTGTTTCGGGGTTTTTTCTATGGCATTTGTCAATTATTGTAATGTGTTTTACATTTATACTTTAATATCAGAACATTGAAAATATATGAAGCTCATTCAAATTATCTGTATATACAATAATCATCATGCAGTTCCCTCTATATTCCGTCAAAACAGTTCATGGCGTAGGCCGGAAAAACCATATATATAAAAAGGTGCCAAAGTACTATACCACACAGATGGTGAGATATAATTTAGAACGTGACTCTCTCAACTATTAGAATTGCGATGTCACGGAAAAAGTCTTCTTTCTTAAATTCTTAGAAAATCAAGTAGGTATAAGGACCATTTTTGCAGACAATTTTAGGATCTATAATTTTTGACGAGGCTATTCTTGTGACACCTTATCTACCGTTGTCAAAAAAAATATAAAGCGCCACAAAATTTTGACGTTTGACCTTGAATAACTTTTTAGAATAGATGGAATCAATGGGGACTTTTGGCACTTAATTTCTAATGTTGTTGTATTGTAAATGTTGTACCTAAGGTATTTACGAAAATGTAGCCCTGTCGAAATTTTTATAATTTGAAATGACTATTTTGACTGGACTAATATTCAACGGTATCCCTTCCTCTGTGAACTGCAACCATGAAACTGATTTTGACTACAATCTATAACATACCTTACACTACACATTACTACAGTTATTTTTTGATTATTTTGTATGTCACCTTTGAAAGGAGATTGCTCAAATTGACCCAAATGCACAAAAAATATTGACATTTAAGGCACGGATTAAGGTAATTCTTTGGGGTAATTTATACTTTATTTTACAGTGATTAGATTTTAACGGACACCTTTGTATAATATATTCATTTTAAAAAGAACTTTTAATTTAACCGGTTTGAAAAACATACGAATCATTTTTAATGGCTATGGGTGTAGTAACATTCAGCCAAAGACTGATCGAAGTTATTTATATAACATAAAATCAAATGTATTTTGTAAAGATCGATAAAGTAAAACATTTTTTTTGGTATTAATATCCACAACTATATTATCATTTTCACTACATGCAAATGTGCTAAGGCAATTATTATAGACTAGTGGCCCGCCCTCGCTTCGTTCGGTGTAGAGCTGTAGTGTAAACTATAGTTTTTGTTCTCAGGCTTGTGCTATAAAGAATGACTTTATTTATATAATTACACGTGTTATTGTGAGTCAATCATAAAAGATAGACATATGCTGTTGCGGGATATTTTTTAGACAATTTTATGTAGAATATTTCCGTCATACATGATTTCTATGTAACTTTAACCATTAAGGCTGCACCCGCGATGGAAGCTTAAAAAATGGAGTAACTTCTCCCGTTTTCCCAACATTTCCCTTCACTACTCTGCTGCTATTGATTGTAGCGTGATGAAAAGTATACTATAACCTACCCAGGAGTATGAAGAATAATTGTACCAAGTTTCGTTAAAATCCGTTGAGTAGTTTTTGTTTCTATAAGGAACATACACACAGACAGACAGACAGACAGACAAAAAATTTACTGATTGCATTTTTGGCATCAGTATCGATCACTAATCATGCCCTGATAGTTATTTTAAAAATATATTTCATGTACAGAATTGACATCTCTACAGATTTATTATAAGTATAGATGGTAGGCGACATCATAAAGTCTATTGCCATACATTTTCGCCAAACACCACCATAAACTAGTGTCTAAATATGTAGACGCCAGAGGTTAAATTCAAATGTTGTTAATCCACTCTATATACAATACCAATCAATAACGTTAATGTCGGAGTTTGACGAAAGGAATAATTCTCATCTGTTGTGTTGGACACTGGTGGCAACTGCCTTAGATCGCTAAATTAAATAATTATGCAATCACCAAAGCAAAGTTTATAATATATGATTGTGCAGAATAAATTTTTCATAGCGTTGGGTACAGCACCATAGCAATCCCATTTATTATCAATTTATCACCCAATGTACAGATTTACATGTATGTCGTTCTTTTTTAAAGCGTTCACCAGTTACAGGTCGCAGACTTTCTGGTCTACCCCTTTTTATTGGTAGTGTAAAGCTCGAATGAAGAGTACTTCCATCTATCAATCGGGCTGCTACCAGCCTAATAGGTATTACAAAGAGTGCAATCATAAAAAATATTTTCCAAATATTTTTTCTACCTATAGGCAAAATAAGACCAACTGTTTACCAAAAATTCTCAGTAACTTTTACCTATATAATCAAATAAACCTACTTACTACTTACTTTATTTTTAAATCTTTTGCATCAATTACATATTATTATCCTAACTATCTTTACCAATATTACAAGGAGGCAAGAGTTGTATGTTTGTAACAAATAATCTGTCAAACTACTGAACCGATTTCGAAAATTTATTCATCCTAAGGTAGCTACATTATTTATTATTATATTTTCAAGCATTAATCTCAATATCGTTGATTAATCTGCTCGATTTTTAAATCTAAAGAAAATTTTTAGTTGAAAAAATCCACTTTGACAACTTCTCCGAGAGGATTTTTTCTAGTATTTTTTTTTATAACTACATTTATCTAAGTGACATAGGCTATATTTTGTCCCGTAAAATAAATTTCACCCGTGCAGTGCCGGGGTAGATCACTAGTAAGTATCATATAATATTACAGATGCGAAACTGAGTTTGTATTTTACACTTCCGCGCCCTAATAGCTAAATCGATTATGATGAATTTCCCTATAGAATTAGATGGGCCTTGGTTCTAAGCTACAATATCGCAATACTTACAGGCATAGGGTGATGGAATGGGTGATTCAGCTATAAAACTTTATATTATTTACTTAGAATTTTTGCAGAATTATCTATCGTTTATAATTACAAAATCAACATTACCGCGAAAATTAATAAATACAGGGAGCCATTGAATATGTACCTACTAGCGAAAAATAGGTTATTTCTCATTATGTTAAGTAACTCTTTTTTGAAACATGATGTAATATCGTTAAAATAAACTTTAAATATAGTATAATTCTGAAATTTTCATTAAATTACAATAATCATAAATACCTATTATGATTATTTATTTTTCATCATTTAATAAGAAGGAACTGTATATCAGTTTTATTATAAGTACTTCGTATAGGATTAGATACTGTGAGTAAAACATTTTTTTCTTTTTCGCCTAGGTTTTATCTACGTTTATAAACACCAAAATTCTTCTCCCACTATGCCCGCAGTCTACTACTGCATAGTACACGCGTACTACACTTTTTCATCGTTGCAACTTTTTCAATATTTCTCGAAATACCATAGTGTAAAAGGCAAACTTTATCGTCTTTAAATATCAAAAGCGATAAAAGTATTTATTTTGATAAAAAATTATTTGTAAATACCAAATGTGCATTTTGGAAATGGACATCAAATAATATTTTATTTTAGATTCACTATTTTAGTGATAATGGCTTGTACATTCAAAATACATATATGGTGTCTCGGACTTTTTTGTAGAATTTTTTAAGAGATACATTTTCACTCTACATTATATTCATGTAACTTTTATTGTTTTTGCAATACAGGCCGAAATGGCTCGCAAATCGGAGATTTTTTTCCGTCTTACTTGACCCTTATTGTTATATTTTGGCCAATTCACTCAATAACTACATAAATTATTATCTATATGTTATTATCATGTATGTGCTATATTATTGTAAAGTTTCATTAAAATCCATTCAGTATTTTTAGGTGAAACAGTAACAAAGAGCCATACAAAAGTAAGATTGAAATTAAAAGCGCAAGTGGTTTATATACAACTTTAAATCATTGTAGATCCTAAACAGTCATATAAAATGAAAAATGGTGTAGGGAGCCTAAACATGATTTCCGATTATCTAGACAATGACTCGACATATTTCGTCAACTTATTTTTTTTACTTCGTCACAATATGGTGCCTAATTTTGCCCATATTGAATTTTGATTACTATCATATCTTTAGTAGCACTCCCATGATTAAGACGAATCGATTGATGTATGAATCATCAAAATCGGTCCACGCGTTTGGTCTCTAGTGTGCCTTTGTGGCACACTATATGTATGTGCCACAAACATACATATATAGACTATTACGGTATACGGTTTTAGATCTTTATTCTCATAAAAAAATACAAAATTCACTTACCATGAGAACATAAAATATTTTAAATAACATTTTGGTTAAATACGG